TGACAGATTTATTGCTAAGCATATTATCGAGAAACCAGAAAAACCCATGCATTGACGGCGGGAATGAAAACTACATTCTTCAAAACCCCCTTTCAAGGAGATGCGGCGAGCAAACTCCTGAGATGACGCCTTGGCAAGGCCGTTTCGTGAACCTTTTCATCAGCCGAAGTTCGGATATTATTCTGAACCAACTCTATCTTAAGTTTAGAAGGTGAGAATTGGTTGCCAGATCATCTACCTGATTCGTTTAAGTTGGATTTCGCTCACCTAGGTGGAAAAAAATTTGCTCAGCTTGATTACTGCGTATGTTTAGATTTAGTCGGCTCACAAAGTGTAGGATGGTGTTCCATAAAATTAGTAATAGCATGTGTAATGATTAGCATGTATTTACGAGCAAAAGTTGTCTGAATAATTCTTCAATCGCGTGTTTAAATCAAAATCAAAAATTAAACCCCTTGAGTTGTTGGGTTTTGCAGCCGATGTCCGCTGTTTTATTAAAATGTTGCATATTTCCTAGCGATAGACCAAAAACGTTGGTCTGTTTTACCAGGTTTTAAAGCCATTACGCCCAGACGTTTTATGCTTACTAAGCGGGATGTTCCGATTGCAGAAGAATGTTAATAAACTGCCGTGTAGTTTTAAAGACACGCTGTATTCCTCGTTGACCCTTCGGCTTCCAATGTTGCATGTTTTTTGTGGGGAAAATCGTATATAACTGCTCTCTGATGGAGGTCGTCGTAAATAGTCTACCATACATGGCTTGTGTTACCTGTTATGCGACCACCACTGTGTGTAAACCGGCAAATAATTGGTTACTCTAACAATTATGATAAACATCCAAATATTCCCATAATAGTGAGCTTCTTAAAGACTGAAATGAACGTCTCTCTTAAGCAATGCCACAAAAGGAACGGCATTGTTCCGCAAGACAAGTCCTCATGGATTGTTTGTCAGGTCTATGGTTGACTTCCAGGAAGAGGTTGATAATAAGGGGAAAAAAGCGCACTCCCTAGACAACGGTTATTCCTGCTGAAACTGTCGAACGAGGCTAAGGGCCTAATTAACCAAACGCCGGTGTGCTGCCATATCTGAAGTGCCTGGGGTCTATGCTGCATGCTACTTACTGTGACAGTCTAGCATCGTGCTTCGTTTTCCGGTTTATTAGTACATTAGAAGATACATTTCAGTGCCTCATGAGTTTCAGTGAAGACGGAAAAATTGAAAACGCCTTTTAGTCTTGAGTCTTTTTAAACATCCAAAGGCTTTGTCCCTTGGCACACTTTCCTAATAAGTCAACTGTCTTTCCTTACTAACTTGAAAACGGCCTGCATGCTTGTTCAGGGAACATGTGATCTGGGCGACTCAGAAAAGACCTTTTCAGACACAGTCTTATAATGTCCTGGGAGGAAATCAGTCGGAACGAAGCCCTGCGGGCTCACTCCCAAATTGAGTGTGAATACTTGAGCCGAAGGTCCATCAGCTAAAGGAAAATAGCGTTGTCAAAGGCATTGCGTTCTACCTTTAAGATATACTGGCCTATACTGACCTAATCCACGAAAACTCTGTGCGGACTCAACTAGTGCGACGGTGAAGGAAGGGTGTAGGACCCACAAGTAGGTGGCAATTACAGAAATATACCGTAAAATCCAGTGTGTCTGTAAACATCACTTATTATTCACCGTTCCTCTTGTCTGAAATTTCCCTCCCTTCCTGAATAAATTTAAACTTACCAACGGCGCCATATTCAAAGTCCGTTACTTCTTGAAAACTGCTTTTCGTTTATTTTTTTAATTATTACGCTTTCGTTCTTTGCCAAATGACGGCGCACGATAGGACTTTCGGCAGAAATTCAGCTATTTTCCATGTCTTCTTGCTCTCCGTCCTGTGTGTGTTGTGCCACCCGTAAAACCCCCTCTACCACCATTCAACGTATGACACTGTCCACAGGCTAGCTCCTCTCGTTGCCATTGCGACTCATTCAGTTCACCCACAGAGTTTACTCCTAGAGAAGTCACATTGTACAAAATAGGAAAAAAGTGTCTTTTCTCCTTAATCTGTCGGGAAGATAATGGCCTATGCACAAATCACATAAAACAAAGGGAAAGTGTATTTCACCCATTTAATCTTCAAGCAATAGTCGCTAAGTCGGTGTAAGTAGGTTAGGATTAAGCTTTACGGATTCAGTCCGAACGCTAATTTAAAATTTGAGCCGAGGGCACTCCCCTACAGCGGATAACCGCGTACCAATCACAAAGTGCCAATAGGCAGTCAGTAGTATATATAGTTTGCGTTATTTGCCATACCGACAGAACAGATATTAGCCAAGCGTCCAGACGCTTGTGTCACCGATATTTTTCCGCTGCATCTGTGAGCTGTATGGCTCGCCAGCTGGTTCTCCAGCGCTTCCACTGGGCTTTATGGTAGATACTCCAGTTTAGAAATTGTTGCCTTGCTTAATTTCCGAGGAAATGTGATGTGAATATTTGAGCTGAAATTCACCAACTACTGCGGAATAACCGCGTGATATTCGCAAACCGCTAACAGGCAGCCAGTAGTATAGAATTGTGTAATTATTTAACATACTGACAACCCAGGTACTAGCTAGAAGTCCAGACACGCGTGTTTTGCCGATCCTGCGCCGCTGCGAGGGGTTCGGCTCATCAGTGGGTCCCCCAGCAATCCTCGTGTGTCTTCTGGTATATGAACTCTAGTTTCAGTCTGCCTTGTTAAATTTCCGGGGAATTGAATGCGTGAACTTGGTGAAATCCTTCGGAACAGAATTTTTCAGGCGCGGTTTCATCATGGCCTGGGAGAAAATCAGTCGGAACGAAGCTCTATGGGCTCAGTCTCAGAGTGAGTGTGAATACTTGGGCCGAAGGTCCATCAGCTACAGGAAACGCATATTATTTGCTTTGTGCTTTTCTCTCAGTGAGAACACATTCGATAGATGTGAAAAGACTACATCAAAAATTTGTTCAAATCAACTGTGGGCTCTAGTCCATACTGAAGCAGCCATTGTTGCAAAAAAACTTCTTTTGATATTGTACACCAGATATTCGTACAATTCTATACGCATATCCCATATTTGATCATAGTTAAGCTGGTGATCATTGCCCTTGTATGAAGGGCTATGAGCGGATTTTATTAAGTTAATAGGTCTATCCAAGGTGTTAAATTTGAACGGAGTTCGGAGTTAATACTGTCCGACCAGAGTCCTTCGAGCCTAAGCATAATTGAGCGAATGCTCAATTAGCACAATTCTACAGCAGAAAACAAACTCTGTGACTAACTAATAAACCATAAATAGATTAGAAAGGATGGTTGCTTATATATACAGTTTGATAGAAAACAAAATAGGCCTTTACGACCGTCGCTCCCTACTTAGAAGCCATTAGTAGCGAGCCCAGACGGTCATTGTGTTGGAGCACCTCCGTTATCTAACCTAGATTAAAAATTGCACTATGGCGTCCATTGTGGTGCTACCGAGGCCCCCCAGGGGTAGGTAACGCGATATCTGACAGGCTCTTTTTTGAAGTAACTGTTCGCTCTCCCCCCTCCACGCCGAACACCCAGGCAGCCCTGACAAAAAACGTTTGAGACGTTCAAATGCCCAAAAAACGATTGTTTCAATTTTAAGTCGCTGTCGCCCGTGTACCAGCAAGAGAGATTAGGGGGAAGAACATGGAGGGGGGGGGGGCGGGGGCTGAGCGTACGACATGCACATCAAACGTATCAACCGTGGCTGATAAACGTTCTGTGCGGCACACCCAATCCCGGTGGAATTGCAATCCGACAGCAAAAAAGTGCATTTACCATGAAGCGAAGAAAAAGGAGGTCTCCAGGGCGAGGGGAGGACGAGAAAAAACAAGGAAGAAAAAGAATTGTTAGTCGGTGGGACCAGCTTGCTCGGATTTGTCATGAAGGCCGAAAAAGTGAAGTTTGCAGCAGGGGGGAAGGGTGCTGTCACCATGTCCAATTGTCTTGTTGCACAGGTGGGGTGGGGAAAGTGAGAATGGGGACGGTTGAGACCTAGGACCGATTCCGACGTCCTGGCCGCCCCCCGTGAAGCCAGAAGTAGCATCCTGCCACAGACGACGTTGGGGGTTCAGTGGAGAAATAAAAAAGAATGACAACGAGGACGATATTAGAAGAAAAAGAGTGGAAGGCATTAGGGGGGGGGCAGGAGGGGTGGTGAAGAGGAGGTCGAGGTGGTGGTGGAGATCGAGGAAACCACTGAAGACAACTGAGGAGATGTCACGGAAGTGTGTCAACCCAACATTTCCAAGGATCCCTTGTTTTAAGTTTGTGCTGTTGTCAGCACTGCGAAATAATTCCTCCAACGTGCACTGGAACACTCCAACACGAAGTGCCCAGTATTTATGGCTAGAGACTATTTCCATGGCAGAAATTGTAGAATACTGTGCTTTTACGAACTTCCCTTGGTGTGAAACTTGTGTAGCCCCTAAACATAGGATCTTTGGTCATGGAGTTTGACGCTCTACCATTGAGCCACGGGCCCGTTGTCCGGGTTCGAATCTCAAGTGATCCACACTTGGGGTTGGGTATGACTGGCTGATGACGGCTAATAAGAAAGAAATGGCCATTCCGGTCTCCCTTGTCTTTGTCGGTATCATCTCATCTATGTCTACTACTAGTCGCTGTGCGACTGCCTGCGAGGGTTCTAGTATGAGCCCCAAGGCACAGCGGAACGAGCATGTTCCGTAACCTGATCGGCGAGCGCCCACTGTCATAATGGTATTACCGACAAAGACAAGGGAGACTGGAATGGCCATTTCTGGCTTATTAGCCGTCGTCAGCCAGCCATATCCAAGCCCGAAGTGTGGAACACCCGAGCCTCGAACTCGCGACCTGTTGGTTTAGAAGTCCACGCCTCTACCCACCGGGCCACGAGTCCGTTGCCTTGTCGGTTTTCGATCGGGACTATACAATGGTAGGGGGCGCTCACCGATCGTTCATACGGAACTCACTCATGCGTCGCTATGCGGCTGCTGGGTGGGCTCGAGAGAGAGCCCGTAAGGCACAACGGAACGAGTGAGTTCCGTATGAACGATCGGTGAGCGCCCCCTACCATATATATATATATATATTATGACAGATGGGCGCTCACCGATCACATATATATATATATATATATATGGATCGGTGTGCACCCATTCCTGAGTGAATATATATATATATATATGAATAACGGAACAGATTGCAGCCCGAGATGGTATAATAGAAGGAGAACCCTCGTAAGAAAATCGAGATATACTCGTAAATTTTTTACGTCATTTATACCAAGCCGTTGTCAGACAAAATGAATAGTGTGGTGAGGGATAATTGCACGTGAAGGGATAAATAACGAGTTTAGATAGGCGAGTTTAGATAGACGCATGCCTTCGTAGTGAGAGTCCAGGTCGACATGGCGGTTGATGCTGTTGTTGTTAGAGTGCCAAGCTTCGAGAATCTCTCACGCCTGTTTGGCGTTGGCCCTGGCGATCACTTCAGTCTCCACCCAGCTGGAGCGGTGATCACACCCAAGGGCATGCGCAAACACGAGAGACAAGAGATCCCGTCGGCGGATGGCCAACTTTTATTGGTTAATGGGGGGTCCCAAGTCGTCGGCCGGTATGCCCAATATAAACGTATGGGTAGCTTGCAAATGGGATGCGGTAAATGACATTTGTTTGGTGCTCCTTCGGTATGAGGTATTTTGCTCGAGATAATGTGAGTATTGAGGCGGAGTTTAAGCATTTCTAAGACGTATAGTATTGGAATGTCGATGAGACTGTCGTGCAGGAGTCGGGCCACGCCGTCAACGGCAAGGTCATGTGGTATTGAAGAAAACAACGCGACCACATAAAATGATAGAATTCCTTCATCAGGACTTGCGTTAAGAGGTCGGATATTTTCTGGGAATGCGTGAAATTTTTTGGCGCAAGATAACATTGCGAAAAAGCCAAGGGGGACTGGAATGGCCATTTCTAACTTATTAGCCGTCGTCAGCCAGTCATGGACAACCCCAAAGGGTGGAACATCTGAGGCTCGATCCCACGACCTGCTGGTTGAGCTCGACCCTGGCTGTCTGGTCAATACATCACCTTAGACTTTCGGCGTCCTGGAAGGCAAAAGTGTGTCCAGAGGCAACACAATGTTCCGCCATCAGCAAGAGCTGGTCCATCCTTCCTCCTGCGCTTGCGTACACATTCAGGCGGATCTGCAATCGTCTTCCGGTCTCTCCAATGTTTTTTGCCTCAAAGAAACTACACTAGACGCCGTAGACAGCATTCGCCCTTTTAGTCTCATGGCAGAGGGGCCTGGGGTCTCATGGCCAGGCGTTTTATTGTCGTCACAGATCTGTGGACGTCGTTGATCCCCAGAAGAAACGGGCGACTGCTTCAGAAACGTTCCCAATATACTGTAGTGTCCACCACAATCTCGACTGTTTTGTCGTTGACCATATAGCATGCTTCGGCTGTCTGCTGCGTTCTATGAAGCTTTAAGGGTAATTGTCGGAGTTGAGCATCTGCCGAAGTTAATTGAGCTCGGCTGATTAGTCCTTGCTGCCTTGCTGCAACAAATGCAGGCAACTCAGACGAGAACAATGGGAGAAAGGCACTGTCCAGCATGACAGCGATCAACTTCCCCCGCAATGCATCCAGCACGAATACCAGCACGCCAGCATGTCCAGCACCTATAAAAGCAGTGAGTCACCGTACAGAACCTACCCTAGACGACGAAGGTTTGCTGGCCTTTGAACCATCAGGATATTAAAGATTACGGTTCCCATGATCGCCTTTTCTTCTCATTTATACCCGGAAACGCGCATTTCCGCTTCAAATAGCAATACATATCTATATGGTAGAGAGGCGCTCCCCGATCGTGCTACGGAACCCACTCGTTCCATTGTACCTTGGGCTCTCTCTCGAACCAAACCAGCAGCCGCATGGCGGCGCGTAATATGGGCGGAATAGCACTTCCGACGAAGCCAAGGGAGACTGGAATGGCCATTTCTGGCTTATTAACCGTCGTCAGTCAGTCGTACTCAGCCACAATGCGTGAAACACCTGAGGGTTGCTCCCGTTACCTGCTGTTTGGGCTCGAGAGATAGCTCCAAGGCACAACGGGACGAGTGAGTTCCGTAACACGATCGGTGGGCGCCCCTCTACTATTGTACATTCCCTATCGCTACCGACAGGACAACGGTCCCATGGCTCAGTGGTTAGAGGCGTTGGATTTTTATATATGTGTAGATACACATATGTGATGGCCGAGGACACTCACCGATCGCGATACGAGATACACCCGTCCCGATTTGTGTTTTGGGGGTCTCTTCCGAGCCCAGTCAACAGCCGCATGAAGGGGCGTAATATAGGCAGAGTGAGTGTATCGAGAGAGACAAGAGAGAGCGAGATGGCCCATAGGCACAAAGGCAAATAGAAGCGAAAAGACGAGTCCCAGGAAGTAGTCTTGAAGAATGAGACACGATCGCCGGGACAAGAGCTTTATTAGTCTGACGTTTCGGATTCCTACTCGAATACATCATCAGAGACAAAAAAGCAGAAACGGGTGGTTGTTGCACAAGGGGCCGCATCCTATAAATACCGCAGCCCCTTGTGCAACAACCACCCGTTTCTGCTTTTTTGTCTCTGATGATGGATTCGAATAGGAATCCGAAACGTCAGGCTAATAAAGCTCTTGTCCCGGCGATCGTGTCTCCTTTTTCAACAAAGGCAAATGTCAGTCCCATAGCACGATCCATTAGCGTCCCTCTACCATTGTCCGATCGCAACCGACAGGATAGCCGACCCACTGCTCAGCATTTAGGGCGTTAGAATTCCAACCAATAGGTCGCGAGATCGAGTCTCAGGGGCTGGTGACGGCCAGTAGGCCGGAAACGGTCATTCCAGTGCCCCTTACCTTTGTGTGTAAGTTCTCCTGTCAATATGCATGAGTGGGTACATAGATGCACAATCATGTAGGAAGAAGTGTCAACAAAGAAAATTGTAACTGGAATGGTCATTTTTGACGTACAAGCCGTTATCCGCTTGTAATACACAAGCCCAGGCTTGGTTAACCTCGGGGCTAAGTCCGGATTCTTTGATCATTGGGCTTTTTTTAAGTCTAAAGCTCTACTACGAGGCCGATATCTTGTCGGCAAAAAACACCATCCAGTTATGAGCATACGCCATTCTGCCTATGAGCATATTGTTTAAAATGCCGTTTTTTGAAATTTCCTTTCTGAAAGAATGGCTTATTTATTTTTACAGAGAAAACTGACAGGGAAAATGACTGGGAAATTGGATTGCCTGAATGTATTGTTAGAAGTTGAGGAGATACTTCTGAATTATTCAATTCTGGCACGGAGTGCAGACATTGTTTTCTCCTGTTCTACAATTTAACTTCTGCGTGGCAGTCCGTCGTGCACCGGTATGTTCAGGTAGAAATGACGGTCGCAGAATATGTTGCCTTCAGATATAATGTCAAAGTCTTTGTTTACTTTCAGCCTCCTGATTTCCAGACATTTGTCCACGGCAAATCTATCGTCCTGTTTCTGTCCAAGTAACAGTGATGCAGTCTGATGATGCATCGGGAACTTACTGCCTTTTAACGTATTCTGCTGTTGCCACGTAGGTACTGCGGTCTGGGGTTCCCGCAACGTTGTTAAGACGGTCGTGCTACAAGTGATATTTACTGGGTAAAATGTGATTCATTAGGACCTCTGTGGCATTTGAGAACTCGGATCTAGTCGGTAGCATCGATTGCTGAGACGACAACTGCCAGCACGTCAGGAAAACTAGGCACACCTAACGGACCTAGACTCGTGATGAAAAAAAACAAAACCCTTAACAAGCATACTGTAGGACTATATAATCGTCTGATTTGACTCTATTGTATCTGACTGTGTTCACGCTGCCGTATTACGCATTTTGTTAATCTATTCCTGGCTTTCCCTTTAAAAAGGTGAGCGCAGTTTTAGCAGAAATTATCCGGGATGATGACGATGACGATGACGACGACGACGACGACGACGATGATGATGATGATGATGATGATGATGATGATGATGATGATGATGATGATGATGATGATGATGATGATGATGATGATGATGATGATGATGATGATGATGATGATGATGATGATGATGACAGTAATAGTAGTAGTAGTCGTAGTAGTAGTAGTAATAATAGTAGTAATATTATTATTATTATTATTAGTAGTAGTAGTAGTAGTAGTAGTAGTAGTCGAGGTAGTCGGGTGTGGCGGTGGTACTGTTGACATTACACCCAGTTACGCGCACAGTTGTACAGGGTAAAGATTTTTTGACTGGCTATCCTTGTAAACACCTGCTTAACTTACGTTTTACGGCCCGCTCAATAAACTGACCTTGTTGTCGGTCTCTGTGATCAAATTTTGCACTATATCAATGCCGATACATCACTTTAGGCCGCCGGTTTGTTTTTTTGCGGTTTTATGGCGGACGTTGTCCCTAAGCGAATGAATATGGTGAGCATACTATTAGACGTATTATATAGGGAAATGAATTCGATGAGCATACTGTCGGCTGCATCATTTCTGACGCTGGTACGTCCATTCAAAGGTCTGCCCAACGGACGTAGGTAGTGCCTATGCACGTCTGAATTTCAGGGATAGGTGGTCATATTTCAATCTTGTACAAACATCGCAGTCATTGATGGCACTCTCATAAGTGATGACTGTGTCTTTTTACTTTACCTCTCTCACCCCCTCTCTCTCTCTCACTCACTGGAGGAATGTTTTGTGAAAACTAGCGGCTAACGGAATCACGAATGCATACTTGTCCGCACCCCGATTGAGGACTCCCTAAAGCTTTTCGTTCGGGTTGCAAGTCTCCTCTTTTTCCTCCTCGTCTATTCAAAAGTACTTGGAATGGTATAATTCACACCTTGCTTTGGAAAGGATATGGTGATATCGCTGCCTGCGGTTTTGCCAGTATAGTGCTTGCTTCTCTATTCCCGCAGGGCCAGCACTGCTCCGTTTCGTTTTCTCCCCGAGTCAGATCCCTCGGTGAGAGCGACTGCAGCATGTAAAGACGCCTATTTATTTTCTCATCTTTCTACCTTTTATCTTTTTCTCTCTACGTACAAAATCGACAAACTTTCCCTTCCCAATTGCCGGCGCTGCTGCCCCCGCCCCCGGGGAGCAGCGCGCTCAAAGGGTCGTGTCCAAGGCCGCCATCACCCCTACCACCGCCACCGGCCTCAACTTCATCGGTGCCAGTGCGTGCGTACATGCGCCTGAGACCCTCCCTGCCCCCGCCTCTCTCCCGCTGGTGCGTCCTCGTGGGCGCTGGAGGGACGGGCAGTACAGACGCACTTGTGCACGCACGTCCCCTGGATGCGCATGTTTGAAGTGAGCGCGGTGCTCACGTGCGCCACGCGGTGGTAGCACGGCCGCCGCCGCCGCCCCAGTCGTCGTCGTTGTGTTGCCGACGCAGGGGGGCGGCGACAACATCGCTGTCGTCCTGTCGCGCCCACGACAGGCCTTGGAACCCTCCTCCCTCGCCCACTCAGCCCCATCAACGCCTGTGAGACCAGGCCGCGGGGACTGCAGGTACGTGCGTGCGTGCGTGTGTCTGGGGCGAGGGGACCAATGCCGCTGGCACTGCCGCTACTGTTCAGCAGAAGAGAGAATAAGGGAGAGAGAGCGAGAGCGAGAGAGATAAAGGGGAGAAGAGCGCAAGTATTTGAGGAGGGGCGGCGCTGCATAGCCACCGCAGGGGCGGCGGCAACGACAACGGACGGCAAAAACGAAATACCCGACGACGAAGAGAAGAGCAGGCGGCGGAGGCGGCGGCGGAGAATGAGGACGACGATACCGATGGTGACGACAAGAAGGATGGCTGCGGCCTCTGCCGCCAACGCCGCCGCGCCGCCGTCACTGGCGGCAAAACCTTTTCGCGATCGCCATGGCAACGCCAAGGTAGCGGCAAGTACCGCTGAGGCGGCGGTATGGGTGTGTATTAACTCCCTCACGATCAACTGGACATCGGGCGCCCCGCAGTTGGGATATATGCCAAGTCTGCGGACACAGGCTGAGGGGTTGGAGGGGGGTGAGCTGGAGCAAGGCAACTTGACGGAGGGAGTGGTTGGGGGTGGATAGGGACTTTCAAGTCCCAAAACATCGTAGCCAAGACGTGCTGAAGAAACATTTTTGGTCGTACAAATTCCGAAGTGATCTTCAGTCTCCTCCTTGCCTGTTTGGCGTTAATTCAGGTCTCAGTTGTTAAGCCTTTGAAAATCCTAATCGCTTGCTCTTTGCATATTCTGAGCGAAGAAAGTCCCTAGTCTGGGTGTTGCGGCAGACCGCGCGATACGAATGAAACTATGTCATTTTCTATGCCGTATACTATTGTGGGAAAAGAGCGAGGTAGAGGTATTATGTCAAGGTTCTCCATCTAGTTCGAAAGCCTAACTCTTTAAGTCATCAAAACGGAAATGAGCACCCTAAAGACATGCTGTCAGTCCCTTTATCATTTCGTGTAGTGTAAATGAAAAGAATGAATGCGCATATGAAAATCAGAGGGCTCTTCGGGAAATCGAGTCGTATTCGTGAATTTACAATTTTGTGGCACCAACCCGTCGTCAGACGAAATGAACAGAGAAGAAAGCGGGATTGGCAGACTAGGTCGGTTGGTGTGACAGGACAGGCGGCTGGGGTATAAGATAGGTTGGCACTGAGTTACGGTAACTTTTGTGACGGGGGCGGGACAGGGAGATCCGTTAAGGAAGGAGGAGGAGGAGAAGGAGGAGGGGGAGGAGGAGGAGGGGGGGAGGAGGAGGAGGAGCGGGGGAATTGCGGATCAGTGGGAATGCGTGTGAATGTTCGTTGATGTGAGATGAGGCCAGGGGTCAGTGCACCGGCATAGGAAATGTCACGAGATTCGATTGTGGTTTGCCGTGTCGGAAGGAGGGGGTGGAGGAACAATGAAATTCCACTTGGTCGAGTAAGGATTAGTAGTTTATAGCGCATGAGAACAAGTCATTGGGCGTGCACGTAAACCCTCGCAGTATATTCATATATTGGAAGTCCGCTCATCGACCGCGTTACGGGACACACTTGTCCCGTTGTTAATTGGGGGCTCTCGCAGGTAGTCGCACAGTGACGAGGAACGTACGCAGATGGTGACCATGCGCACATTGGACACTGGACGCAAATTTGCTTGGGAACATCCTCGCATTGTAGGCGCCTGTCCAATTAGAAAAGAGCACGAAGTCCTGGATGCAATGCACTCAGATGAGGCATGCATCAGTCGACATATCGATTTAGATATCACAAAAAAACACTCAGGGAAAAATTCAAGCGAGCACAGCTACTCCCCAGAAGATGACGAGATGCGACTACCGCGTTTTGGTGTGGACGTCGGCGAACCGTAGGATCCTTTGTTAGACACAGATAATCAGTTAATTATTTAAACAAACCGCCGGTAGTCTGAAAACGAGCTGGGGACTAGCCTCCAAAGTGCGCGCGATAAAGGCAATGTTTGCTCCCAGAGAAGTTCATCACTTTCTAGTTAAATTTCTTGGGATACGCGTTTGTAATAAGTATATATATATACCAATAAAGGAAGTTGTTCGAAGGTTAGCATCCTGATATGATGGAAATATCTTGCGATTATGCTGGACGATAACTAACGCTAAAAATCTGCTAAGGTAATTTTTTCAAACCACTGGCACAACAGAACGAGTGAGTTCCGTAAGAACGATCGGTGAGCGCCCCCTACCACTGTATATTCCCGATCTAAATCCGACAGGGCAACGGGCTCGTGGCTCAATGGTTAGAGACGTGGACTTCTAACAAACAGGTCGCGAGTTCGAGCCTCGGATGTGTCACACTTAGGGGTTGGGCATGACTGGCTGACGACGGCTAATAAGCCAGAAATAGCCATTCCAGTCTCCCTTGTCTTTGTCGGTAATATCATTCTGCCTATATATGTATATGATATATAGGCAGAATATGTATATGATATATATGTATATATGTTGAGAAGGTGATACTGCCTGCGAGGGTTTAAGTATGAGCCCCAAGGCACAACGGAACGAGCATGTTCCGTAACCTGATCGGTGAGCGCCCACTATCATGTATATATGTATATATATCGATATGCGTAAAGATTCGAGGTCCAGACATTGTATCGCGTTCATCATCTCCCGAAGAAGACGAAGAAGTATCTTGCCGCTTGCGGCAAGACTGAACAACTCAAGACCGGCAAGTGCAACAATTACGCTACTCTGATGATGGAAACGAGGAAGTTTCCGAAACGTCAGTTCGAATACAATATGGTCCATGAATTCGCCCTCTCTACTTCTTCGTCTTCTTCGGGAGATGATGAACGCGATGTATATATATATATATGTATGTATATATATATATATATGTATACATATATGTATATATGTATATATAATACATGAGCAGCTCACTAAGAGTGCAACAGGCCAGACGCAGACAGCTGTTTCACGGTCGTTACGGTCGTATATATGTATATATATATCAGGTGGAGACAGGTGGCCGTGACAGTTTCCGAAACGTCAACATGAATCCAACCTGGTGGAGCATAAACATGATAATGTATCTGGACCTCGATTCACGTATATTGGCCGACTTCGGCCTGGTAGGTGGTTGCCTGTTCGTGACCCCTATCGCCCATACGAAGCTTGTTTGCTTCGGAAAGCCAATGGATCGGTGTGCGCCCATTCCTGAGTGAATAAATACCCGATCTGCAGCGACAGAGAATGGCAGGTGGCGAGACACTGATGAACTTCGGTTCGATGAAGTGCTTATGACCCATCTGGTAGACCCCAGTGGTGGACCAGCTGCGCCAGGTGCGTCTGAGCGCATGTTTGTGTTTCCGGTACCAGCTGCTGGTGGTCAGGGTTATGATTGGCTGAATGAAGGCAAACAAGCCCGAAACAGTGCTGTATCAATCTACCCCCAGACTCTGTCGTCTCCCCTCTAATATATAAATATATACTAAATAAAGGCAATTGCATCTATTAACAGCTGCTATAATAAAAGGAGAATTTCCGTCGGAAAATCGAGTAGTACCCATGGATTTTAAAGTTAACACCAACCCGTCATCAAACGACATGAGTATTGGGGTGTGGGGGGTAGTCGCATTAGGTTGTTTGGGGACATAGAGGTCGCATCGACAGACAGACGTCCACATGACTTGGTGAAAAGCGTGTTACGATAGATGCCGGCTGTTAGGGGGAGGTGTTGAGAGTCAGTTGTACTTCTCTGTCGGGGAGGTACCGAATCATGAGTGCGGACATACGCAGTTGTGCCGCTGATTTCCAGGGTAAAGGAAACGTAACCAAAACTTGCCATTGATGAAAAAGGAGTTGCGCTCTCTGAAGACTGATACCAGTTTAGTGGTTGTAACTGCTGACAAAGATGGCGTAACATTAATTACGTGGGCCAGGCAAACCAAGTCTTTAACGACATGGGAGACTGCACACCACTTGCCGAAGACCCAGTGAAAACGCAGGCCACGACTGTAAAGAAGAAGTCGGATGGGCTCTTTCCTCGAAAGCTGGTTAATCCAGATGACTGCAGCCTTGCAACTCCCAATGACCCCGTATCGTACATGTATATGACCTTCCAAAGGTGAATAAAGCACATGCATCGTGGAGAATCGTAGTGTTACTCACTGGATCACCCAATTACTACATTGTCAAACAGTTTTACATTCACCTAAAGTACCTCACCGGTGGATCACGACACAGAATGGAAAGGTTTCCGGGATTTCCTCAAAAGATCCAAGGTCTCAGTAGCAAGCTGGCTGGCAGACAGAATGGGTTAGAGAGCAATTCTAACTACAAGCGTGAAGGTCGCACGTTTATCTGACATGGTTATATACCCCACTTCATAATGCTGGGGCGCACTGATGATCGGCAACGACCGTGAAACATCTGTCTGCGTCTGGCCAGTGGCCATCTTATTGAAATGATTGCGTATTATTTGAAGTATATGTCCCATGGCACAGCGTTCATTGTCTCCAGTGGTAAGCTGGTGGGTGGACAGATTGGGATCAAGCGAGATTCTAATCACAACAGAATGTCAGGTTACGGGACATTCTCGTCCCGATGTGCCTTGGAGCTCATTCCAGCGTCCTCCTAGTCGGTCGCATGGCGACCAGTCGTATATGCTGAAGAAATGGCAAATGTCGGTTCGAAAACTCTTCCGGTTCCCCAACAATTCTGTACCCGACCTGCCTCTGCACTTGAAGTCGGGTTTTCATAATTACAAACTGCATATTTTTCGGGTAGGGAAAATCACACATTTCTGTACACTGTTAAGGAGATATTATAAATGGAACATATAATTTCACAATGAATTCAGACAGTTCTGCATTATTTATAAGCAGCATTAGTAGACGGACAGACATTATGCTCTATAAATGGACATTTCAGTCCGAAAAATCTCATAATTATACACTTAAGAAGCGACAGTTACTATATCTGAAAGCATGTAATCTAAAAATACTTAATGTGTTGCCAACTGTGCGCAAAAAATATTTCGTGCGTTTTTCAACAAAGTAAATCTAAATTTATAAAGGCACTGAAAACATATGGGAAAAATTCGTACCACATAAGTAGTCACTCGTTGCTGGGTGCTATCATAAAGGAATTTGAAGCATTTAGTCCCCGGTAGGAAGCTGTAGTAGGCAAGAAGTGCAGGATTTATTGGTACCAAAAAATTTCGCGACGGCTCTTCAGCTGCGTCCTGTCGCTTCATAAGAGATAACGAGTGAGAAGAATACAACAGATTTAAATTCGTGCAGAAAATCAATGCAGAAACAGCAAGGTCAGGGTTGTGGGCAAAGCTGGCTAATCGGTAAAGTTAGTAACTCAAACGCCGTAGGGGAAGAAAGTGAAAAAAGGGGAACGTTAAAGAGCAAAAAATGAGAGGAGAGAGGGGGAATCATGGAGCTAGAGGCTACCATGGCAATGTTAGGTCAACCACGTGTTCCAATTGGTTACAAAGATCTGGTTTCACCCGCCGTATATAGGCCGCCTCCAGGTAACGCAATGTCCGAGTTGTTCGTGCCCGAACAAGTACTCGGAAGGAAGTTTTGGGGTCGACTGAGTGACCAGTATCAAGTAGGTGTTTCGTAATGGAGGAACGCGGGATCTTATTTTCTTGTCTTAGGAGCCACTTGGGCAGGTGCTCGATAGACCTGGCTGCCAACTGCCTTTGCATTCGCCCAATGTACTTGCATCCGCAAGTGCATGCGAATTCATAAACACAATTTGAAGTGGCGTGCATTGGCAGGGCATCGTTTGCCCGTGGAATCGGAAGTGGTTTAGTAGGACTGCATAATACTAGTTCGGCTGCATTGTATGTCCTTTCAATGGCGGAACGTAGCCGTCGTTTGATAGTATTTAAAATATTGTCGCCCTTAAAGGGCAAAGATCTAAAGACGGGCTTTTTCGGAGCTAAATGTTCTGTCAATTTTGGCCGTGTAGAGTTGCTGTATTTGTGAATGAACCGTGCGGGATATCCTCGCTTAAGTAGAGCTTCTTTGAGGCGTGCAAATTCTGCATCCAGTGTGCCATTGGAGCAAATGTTCCTAGCCCTTTGAAAAAGAGCGTATACCAAGTTACGTTTCCATTGGATAGGTACAAAACTCAAAAAATGCAAGTAATGTCCCTTCCAAGTATTCTTATGGCAGACGGAACGTCTTATAGAACCATCTTCCTTTCTAAACATAAGAACATCCAGAAAGGATAGTTGGTTGTCTTGTTCCTTCTCCATTGTAAACTTGATCTTTGGATGCAGCTTATTCATAATAGAAAGCAGGTCTTCAGCCTCCTTAATGTCCTTAACAATAGCGAAAACATCATCCACGTATCTTTTGTAGAGTGGCAGCTTATTTAATTTGGCGGACACCTTTTCTTCTAGATGACCCATAAAGATGTAAGCAAAGGTAGGGCCAAGGGGACTCCCCATTGCCACTCCGTCAATTTGTCTATATGATTGGCTATTAAGAGAATATGAACTTTCTTTGTACACAATTTTAATGCGTCACGTAGGTTGGCATCCTGATATGATGGAAATATCTTGCGATGATGCTGGGCGATAACTAACGCTAAAATTCTGCTAAGGTAATTTTTTCAAACCAAAAAGCACTACAGAACATCAGTTGGCATTTCGTGAGATAGTACACACGCTGAATATATATATATATATATATATATATATATAAATGCATGTGCATATTTATATACATGAGATGGTACCGACAAAGACAAGGGAGACCGGAATGGCCATTTCTGGCTTATTAGCCGTCATCAGCCAGTCATACCCAACCCCAAGTGTGGATCACTTGAGATTCGAACCCGGGATCTTTGGTCATGGAGTTGAACGCTCT